TGAAACTACTAAGGTTATGAAACCTGTTGAGAAAGCTTCAAAGGCAGTCAACACGAGATCCAAGGATTTGCCAAACGTCCAGAGTGGTCTTCTGAAATGTTAAGGAGTCAGTGGACAAAGACCCTTCACTACGTCATAAGTATAATTTGAAGCTGGTCGGCGTCCAAAGGAGTACATATCTGCTAAGCGGTCAGGTTAGGGAGAGACAAATAAGGAAGACAAACCCGATCAGAGAAGGATTTTTAAGATTTTTCCAGGTAACAAAGAGAAAAATGGATATACTCCTGAATAACGCATCTAAACTGCGAAATTTGGACATCTGTATCCGATCAGACTGGCCTCTCGAGGACCAGATAAAAGGAAGAGAAGCGGTCTCTGAAATTAAGGCTCGACAAATTAATGGAGAAAATCTTTATATTATGGGTTTCCAGGTTGTAAGGTCTTGGAAGCGAATGCTTTCAAGGCCTGTACAGGTGGGTAGTGGGGCTCTTCAAACTGTGAACGTAATCTACACCAATGTTCGCAGCGCTAAGAATAAAATGACAGACCTCGAGCCTTTAGTCTATGAACTAGGTGCTGATGTAGTGGTAGTTACTGAAACCTAGGTAATAAAAGATTTAGATTTTACATCATGGATGTGTGCTGTGTTTGTAAGACACGCATACAGGACCCAAGTATGGTTATTCACCTAACCTCTCCTGACCAATCTGGTGAATCCGCAAAATTCACCCTTCGAGTTTCTGGTGATTCGATAGCTAGCTCTCGTGGTCTTGCAGGTGTAGGTATAGCATTAAGCACTGGGACAGAAAGCTCACTATTAGACTGGATCCCAGTTGATAGTTGCCTCTGCGCTGTCCGGCTGAACGGGACAGTGAGAACCAAGGGGAATAGTTAAAATCCCCGTTGTTTTTTTTGTAATCTCTGCTTACGCACCCACTGACTGTAGTTCGGATGAAGTGAAGGACGAGTTGTACCGAAAACTGTCTAGCCTCCATTCGGAAGCCAAACGTCCTGACGTGGTGGTTGTTGCAGATGATTTCAATGCACAGGTGGGTAGTCTGAGTGAGGCAGAAAGGCACTGAGGTGGTACTTTCGGAATCCCGGCTGAACGAACAGATAATAGTGATCACCTACTACAACTGTGCTCAGATAACCGCTTATTTTTAGTTAGCACAGATTCCAGACACAATGAAAGACACTGTCTGACATGACATAAAGAAAGACATTGTCTGACGTTGCGTCCACCAAGCTCAACTCAGCAATGGACCACGTTGCTACCAGTCATCACTGGAAGACTGATGCTCCTTCTGGAGAACGTGTTTGGATAGGGGCCACGCGTTGGTCCGAGCGCGTATATGCCTGCGTCTCAATGGATGTAGAACTTTCACAACTAGACCATAAGGAATGCAGGTGGACAATCACAGCACTAGAGGTAGCTTTGGGTGGGAAATTGGCTAGGTAGTTATCGAAACAGAACACTATCACTCACCCAGAAGAAGCTTGATGCCATCTCCTGCTGTAAAAAAGCTCTGAAGACCGTAGCTGACTCTGAAAGAGTGGCCAAAGAGAACCAGTGGATATCAGCAGCTTCTTCCGAACTAATGGATGCAAGTGAACGCATCCCTGCGGGCTCTGAGTACAATGAAGAGCGAGCGCAACTTAAAAGTAGATTGAGAAAAAGTCTACGCAACGACAGCGAACAGTGGTGGGCAGCGAAGGCTGAAGAGATGGAAAAGGCAGCGGCGATTGGCAACAGTAGACGGTTATTTAGACTTATTTAGGAAACTTGGGGGAAAAGGTCAACAACGGTTAGTGAGGCTATAGTGGAGAAGGACGGGTCTACGATTCACTCACAGGGAAGACGACTGGAACGATGAGCAGAGCATTTCGAGAAACAGTTTAACTGGCCTCCAGCCACCATTGGGTTGCCCGCTATCTAGTCGGATCCTGAATGGAACATTCAGATAGGCTCTCAACACTTGCAGAAGTAGAGAAAGCAGTAGGTAACTAGAAACGAGGAAGAGCAGCAGGAAAAGACGGATTAACTCCTGAGGTATACAAGAATGGTGGTACAGTGCTCTTAGTCAGGTTAACCGGAGTGTTAACTAGTACATGAGAATTAAATACGATCCCCTCTGACTGGTCTAAATCACTGATTATCTCAGTCTTCAAGAAAGGCAAGAAGTCCTCTTGTGATAACCACAGAGGTATCAGCCTGACATACCATCTGAAATTCTAGGTTCCGTAATTCTTTGACGCCTGAGTGGAACTCGGGAACAGCTAGCCCGAGAAAACCAGGTGGGCTTTAGACCTGGCCACGTGTGTATCGACCAAATATTCACACTGCACCAGGTTCCGGAACACAGGCACGCTTACCGACGCCCGATAATAGCTGCATTTCTCGACCTGAAGGCAGCATTCGATTCTGTTGATCAAGAAGTCTTATGGCGACGTCTCTCAATGAAGGGCATGCCGAGTAGGTACATCACCTTAGTGAAGGCTCTCTACTCGAACACTTGTGGGCATGTTGGAGCCTATGGTGAGATGCCAGGGGAGCTATGCTCGTCGAGTGATGTCCGTCAAGTGTGCCCACTCTTTCCATTCTTAGGGAGGTGTCTGAGATAAGAGGACACTGAAAAGACTAGTTGCTGGCTCAGCAAAAATGTCCGCTAGCAAAGAGCAATCTAGGGTGCAACTCATCAGGACCCGGGGATTTTCTAGGTTTAAGAGTAGTGATCCAGTGGAAGACTTTACCTTGTTATGTCCACTGTATCCATTGGTAGGGCGATGCTGACACCATTATTGAGCACTTCACCATCATGGTCTACAGAGGAGACTAAAGTAATCTGATAGGCGTTCAGCTTTCGACAGATTAGGTCCCGCCAGACTATCAGACTTTTCATCCGTCACCTAAAACAGAATTCTACATTTTCTTTTGGTCTTTCTTCTAATGAATGAGAAGCCTTTTAGGACAGTTTTATAAAGCTGTTCCTTGTAAGGCATTTGAAACTCCATAGTCAAAGTTTGGCACAGATTATGGACTTTACAGTACCCAGTTTTAAATGTTTCCAGTTTAGTTTCTATAAACAAGTTTCATAAACATCTCCTCTGCCTTAACATTTTTTGTATCTTTATCAAACCACGGAGGGCAATGTGAGGATCTTCGTAGTGTCGACTATGTAATAAATGGCGTTGTTACCTCTTCAAATAGAGTTCTAAACCTATCCTAGGCATTGTCGATTGACAAGTCCTTATCGATGGTCCAATCTCTACCGACTGCGCAATCCCTCATACTGCATGCTACACATTAGGTCTAGGTGAAACAGTCATAATCAAAGTCATACGTTTGAAAACCGAAATTTAGCATTACATGATAGCTGTTAGCTTACGGAAGTGTAGCAGACCCATAACATCTTCACATTGGTGGGTTAAAACCAAATATAGTAACAATGGCTTGTGTTCAGAATCGTATCGTGTTGTACAAGTTACGCTTTAAACTAAAGCAGATTCTAGTTCCATTAAAGGTGATCATTTTAGAAGCAACTGCTAGAGGCTAAGATTGTAAGCTAAGTCCAGTTTATTTGTGGAGCGTTGAGATCCGCAAATATTAGGCATCTGTTGTTTCTTCTCCAGTTACGTATATGTTAGCACGAAGTCATTCGCAAGTCAAGATAAACTACAGCGAATTACCTTGCTTTGACTTCACCTCACAACTGGCCATTTCTCAGGTACCGAATTCACTTGATTCTGAAATGACTGATCGTATGTGGACATCATCATGCACATGTGGTCACCTTTGCGACCCACGAACCTACGTGCTCTTTCATAGTAATACTCTGTAAGAACAAAACACATCAAACAAATTAAGATTTCTGATCAAGGCATTCAAAAAACTGTTTCTTGTCAATGTTTTCTTCTAACCAGACTATGACATATACGCAGTCTACTTTGCCCACGTACTGTCCTGAAAGGAAGCCACTGCCTATGAAGTCAGGGATACTAACGGTTATGTTCATTACGATACAGGTAAAATAGAGCAGTGACAGACTATTTGTAGCGGACAACACTGGTGATTGCTAATTAATAAACCCGTAATAAACAGTGGGTTGGCATTGAGACTACTTCTAGTCAAAAATGGACAGTAGTTTCGAACCCACTGGCATATCTTACGAAGAATTACTATACTCAAGAAAACTGTAGGTAAATCGGTTTACGGAAGGAAAGTAAAATTACAAACAGAATAATAAAAGGTACATTGAAATCTAGATAAAGATTCACAGGTGGGAACTGAGAAAAATATGCTTCGATGCACTCCCCTATAATTTAGGTTGTTGAATCAAAAATTGAAGAATGGTCGGTAAAAATACAGCTAATGAAATGTTTGTTCTAGTGACAGCTTCTTTTAATCAGACCGAAGTCAGGTATGAGATTTAAAGTGGTGTACCACTGAAAATAAGCCCAACTTGCTCACTCAATCAGTAATTTAAGTGAGATATTCCAGCTAACCCAATAGGTTCCTTACGAGTTACTCATCAGTAGACGGAGGTATTAAGTAATACATATCAAAAACCTCTAAAGCTGTCTGAATCCCAGTTACGAAACTACATTTATAACGAGTTAATCCCTACTTACAACCTGAATGCATATGACACTATTAACAACCATTTGAACGTGGTTAAAAAGCATATCAAAAGCAATAACGGTTAGTGTTTGCGTACGCATGCCAATAAAAAATATTGCCGCACAAATCTTTCAGTTACAATGCGTTTTTTTCACACCTGAATACAGCTAGTGTCTAACATCCAACATCAATAGTGCGTGTAGCCCACCAATTACTGAAGCACTCATAATTCTGTGTCATGCAACTTGAAATGTTTGGGAGTATGGTGGGGAAGAAAGACATCACTCAGTGGTGAAGTTTCTGCTTAGTTAAATGTTAATGGGATCTTGTACTTAGTTTCAGAATAAACACGATATAAATGAATAAAAACGGTAATTACTTGTCTTTGAAGATCTGCTATAGAACCTCCGATAAACGAAAATCCCAAACAAGATTGCAGAAAAAAGACCGAATACAAAAGCAAGGCCACTAGTGTCAATCATTTGACAGAAACACAAACACACATGCAGAAGGTGAGCTTATAAGACCCGCCGGTGAGTGTGTTAGGGAAGAGAAGTTGTGATTGGTTTCGTCGCTCAGCGGCATATTCAATCAAGATTAGTTGATTTTCGCGTTTTCATTCGGTTAGCAACTATTACTGTTCTGTTTAATTTATCATGGTGATTTTTGATTTGAAAGGTCTTCTGTTATCCAAAAATACTTTTTTTAATGTTTCACATGCATGTACTTCAAAAAGGACAGTGGTATTTCTTCGTGTTGTAGAAACAATGAACAATCCCATTCAACATTTTCGTAGGGCAATATTAGGCCACTCACAAAGAAAATGTAGGGCCAGAGGTAGAGTTTGGCAACATTTTCGCTACATCTAGCCCGATGTTTGGCACATCTGGCCCTAAGTTCTTACAATTGGCCAGACGTCGTGCCCCACGTATTGATTGTTGTCCCTACGACCAGCCTCATTGGCCCTACGTTTGGCCCAAAGGAAATGGTAGCCCAACTTTTAGCCTCAAGTGCACCATATCTAACTCTACATCAGATTCCTAGCCTAACGTTGCTCTGTTTGACCTGACGAAACTGTTGACTGGGGTTGGTTCCTTTGGTTCTATATCTGTCCTAATTTGTTAGCATATCCTATGCTTAAAACCGAGGGGAGAGTAAGGATACTACCAGATATCCCACACTCTGGGAGAAGAATGGCCATAATGAAACTCTCGGACGACGATCGCAATGCATACTTTAGGGGAACTTCCGTAAAGTATCCCTCGGTATTTTCACGTTGCTTGAGCAAACTAATGGTACAAGGCCTAACTAAAGACCCCGTGAACCGAAAGTATTTACTACAACTCCTGTGAATGGAAGTTCCTCGAGAGAATAATTACACAGAGCGTTTCACGGATGCCCCAAAATATGATGACTCCAGATGAAGACTGATCAGAGTGGTCTTTCCGGTCTCTCTCATGACAGCATCTACACTGGAGGCATTCTGGGTGAACAAAAATCGCCTGCCACCTGGAGTCTGTATGCAGCCTGATAGGTCGCGGAAATGCTGCAACGAAAGCAGAAAAAAGTGGAGCTGGTTGTACCTCTGGAAGACTCCTTGGATTCAAAAGCAGGTGAGGGGTGGAAAACACTACACTGGTGAGCAGCTTTTAGACGTGTTTCCTGCGCCTGAGGATTTAGCCAGCTAATTAAACAATAAAGAGCGCTCAGGAAGTGCGTTCAAAGTAGATAATATAAATTACATCTATACAAATACACAAAGTTAACCGAACTACGGGACCTGACTAAAGATACTTATTCTCATCTTATAGGTGTTACTGAGACATGGGTTTCTCCTGACATCTCAGATCAGAAGTTGGCAGTTGCTAACACTACACTGTTTCGCAACAACATTAAGGCTGATAAGGCAGAGTGGGGTAACACTTTACGTTAGCTCTTCTCTCAGCTCAATAAATCCATATTCAAGCAATGGAATACCTCAAGAAGTCCATTTGGTGCTCCATTAAGCTTTCCAAGACTAAAAAACACTTTATGGGAATCATTTATAGGAAGCCATCAGCTGAAGTACAGTATGATGACCAAATGCTAGAAACAATCTATTGCTATCTTAAAATGCGGCACATGCATACTAATTCTAGAAGGCTTTAACCTACCGAAGGTTAAATTTGCAGATAATACGTTCAGCTGGAGTGAGGATTCCATTGAAACCCGATTCTTCAGTTTGATTGAGGAAGTGGGGCTTACGGAAAATGTGAGGACAGTAACGAGATAGAGGGAAACTCGAACCCCATCCCGCTTAGACTGCATCTTCACAAATGAAGAATTCTTGGTTGAAAACCCACCAATCCTTCCACTTTGGGGCAAGAGTGACCATGTTGTTATCGGCTTCAAGTATCTGCGAAACCGATCCAACCAAACCTTTCAATGAGCGTTGTTGGAACTTCAGGTGACTGAATACTCCCCCTCTTTGGATGGTGCTGGGACAGATAGATTAGGAGTTTGACCATGTATGGCAGGATATGAACACCCATTTGAGATTCATGCTTGACAAATCATGTACTCCATCAGCCAGTCTCTTCCATTTTCAACACCTGAGCGCTGCAAATCGCGCAAGGTAATAAGCAACTCCACTGGCAAACTACTTAGGTTAAAAAGACATCATTGAACCTCCACAAAAGGAATGGTACCGAGTACATATATAGACTGTTCAAACAGTCAAGAAACACATGTTCGAATGCATTGGAAGCTGATCGGCAACGGCATCAAGTTGAGCTTACAAGCATGTTTGTTTCTAACCCAAGAAGTCTGTTCTGCTATCCTGCATTGTCCCAGCAGGCTAAAGCGGGATTCTCTTAACTACCCGGGCCTAACAGACTGGTCAGCGGTGACACCGCGGCAGCTGAGATCCTAGGTGACTAGTATTTACAAATCTTTTCGTCATCATCCACCTCAGGAGTTTGCAATTATCCCACTAACGAAGTATTACTCGGTCGTTAACTTAGGCGTTGAGCTAGTATAGCGTAAACTGTTACTGCTCACAAAAGACACCTCTCCAGGACCAAAACCAATCCATGCGACGGTACTGCAAAAGGGAGCATCAATCTTGGCTAAACGTTTAAGGTATTGAAGGATTCTCCAAGTTTAGAGGAAGTACCCGATCCTTGGAAGTTGGGCCACATAACCCCAACCTTCAGAGAAGGTCAACGAAGCAGCCCAAAGAAATACTGATCTGTGACGCTCTTATGCATACCTTCCAAAGTAGTGGATTCGTTAATCTATAGTGGATTAAGGGATAAGGTAATCCCCTTATAACGAATAACTTCTTGACGCCTCAACAATACGGATTTAGGAAAGGGTACTCCTGCATTACTAATCTACTCACTGAAGGAGATAGATAGACTAGCACTGTCAACCGTTAAAGCTGAATTGATGTGATTTTCCTGAACTGTGCTAAGGCATTTGATCGTGTCAATCACCACTGGTTTCTTATTAAGTGAAAATTAATCGGTATCAGACCACTGCTCATTAACTGGTTTTCTTCATACCCACAAGGTCGTTTATTTAGAATTCGAGTGAGTTTCTGTATGTCTGACGAAACAGAATGTCATAGTGGAGTTCCTCAATGTTCACTACTAGAGCCTCTTCTTTTTCTGATATACATAAATGACTCACCTGAACAGGTTTCTTCAGAAATCCTTTTCCTCGCCGATGACGTGGAACTATGGACAGAAATCAAAAGTGAAGAAAACAGTGTTTCTCTACAGAAAGACAGCTTCAAAACTGGGTAGTCAATAATGGACTCGCACTCAGCTTTGGAAGATGCAAGGTGTCACACGTAAGTATGATGCATATCATGTATATAGCCTCAACGTCATGGAACTTGGAGGGTCGCTGACGGTGGTTTTAGTCCCTCAAGACTTAAAATCCTATGCTAACTGTGACAAAAACGCATTTCGTGGAAGCTTGGCATTAGTAGCCTTTAGACGAATTTTAGGACAATTCGATCGTAGATATTTTCAGCGGATTTTCAACAGCTTCACGCAGCCGCACCTGGAGTTCGGGACGATCGTCGTTCCTCCTTCTCTGTAGAAGGACAATATTCTGAGCATCCCTGGTCATCCACTTTGTCACTTATGAAATCTTAGTTGTAGGACTAATCTCAGAGGACACATACGGAAACTAACCCTAGAGTATAGCAGGTTAGATATCAGACACAACTTTTATCCCCTAAAAGTTGTTAAATCCTGGGATGCTCTCCCTGTAAAAGTGATCCAGGCTTCTTCGCCTGAGTCCTCTGCCCTAGCAAGGGAAGGTGTTGGGTATCTCTAGTTGCAGAGCCTGCTTAGTAATCACGTAGAACGTTATTACTGCATGATCAATGAGGCCAAGAGACAGTTGGATATATATATTCTCAATGGGAAGATCATTGTCCGTCAGAACGTAGTCTAGTCACAATGCATTTCCCTTAGTCCCCCAACGTATGGCATTAACCCACCTTCTCTGAGACACTAGTTATCTTAAATCCATTCTTCAGGTTCTAATTGAAAGATCTGATGTGCTTTCCTTCCGTCTCGAAGAGGGTGAATGGAGTTTTGAAGTCACCAGCGGTGATTATGGAGTCGTAATCTGCAGAGGAAGTCTCCAAGGTTGCCTTGACCATTTCTTTATGGGTAATGGAGCTAGTGGGGGACCGATATATGACCCCAAGCAGGTATTTGATACGATAAATGGTGAAAGCTGGATGAGAGCGATGTCACTGACCACTTTTACCCTTAAACAGGAGCTTACAGAGAGTCACTGCGCCTCCCACTTTAAGTTCTCTGTCCCTGCGGAAGAGTTCCAAATATCTGCATGCCGCAAGGGGGTAGGGGATGCTATTGTTGGAGCCGACATTTTCTGAACCCACCTTTCCATTGTGAAGGCAGCATCAGCGTAGCACTGCTGGTCATCCAAGAGAAACGCCTTACTGCTGTCACACCCCATCCACCCAGTAGCATTTCCCGCGCCGCCACACCCCATCGTTGTACAGTAATTTACACTACAACGGTAACTGCTTTTCGTCTAACCATTATCCGACAGACCTTTCTGGTATGGTACTATAGTGGGCGCTACTGATCGGGATGGATATAAGTAGTACATGTTAAGAGGATGGCAGGAATCATAGGGAATTACCAGTGATGGGTAAATATTTTGCCCAGAGAAACCCAAGAGGCAACTTGGGCGGGTTGAAAACAAATCGAGATAAAAGAAATGAAGTACATTGTACAAATGACTGTTTTAGTGGAGTGCACAATATTTCATCACTACTGTACAAGATATCAGTAATAAACATCGCTTCCCGCGTCTCAGTCTTGTCGTTCCCTACAATAAAACCTTGAGAGGACAAGCGTCCCTTAAGCATGACTCTTTGGATCAGTGTGATATGTAAGCCCGACCGACATGTTATCGCTCTGTTTGGGTGGTATAAACACCTAAAATGCCC